CCTTCTAACAATAAAACTGTTAAACCGTTGTCAGTGTTCGGAAATTATTCAGAGCTCAAACAACCGATCTTAACAAAATAACTTCATTTCTGGACATTTATGGTTTGATTTCTTTGTATGTATGGATCACTTGGGTTGTTACCAACATCTGGTGAAAATTTCATGTCATTAGCACCTCTAGTAATATATTTACTGAGAAAAATGGTGACGTGTTCAATACTTATTTATACCCGCTGTATGCGTCAACTGTTGTGTGATCGGCTGGAACTTTTAAATGCAAAAAATGTGGGGGAACTGCAACGGTCTTGTTGCACTTCAATCGCTCCTTCAACATATATACAGTTAAAGAACCTTTGGAAGGGGTGTAATTATTTTGCATGGCGGAGACAGCGTGGAGACACAGGCAGCTCTCTGAAGCTGTGCTGGCTCGGAGGAACGTGTTCCCTAAGTTCACTCTTTTGTTACATTGTCTGTTGCAAACAGTGTAGTTCTCTATAAAACAATTTGCAAATGCCAAATGTGTGTAGCGTCTCAGTACAATAACAAAAAAAGTCTGGTTGCAGAAAGAGAATCAAAAGGAAGAGTGAAGACAGCAGGGGTATGGTGCGGTATGAGGATCAAAACTGAGACTATTGCACAACCAGTGGTTGCTACATCCTTGTAGCAGGAGGCTATATCTATTCCTAAGCCAGCAATTGATCTGATTAATGATTGGCTGACACTGCTAACTGAGAGACTGGTGCTGGCAAATGAGGAGACTATAGAGGTGGGCGGATCGATACTGAATATCGATATTATCGATACCAACACTGGTAATGATATTGAACAAGGTCGTGTAAAAAGATCGATACTCGAGCTTTGTTCTTTCCCGCACAAACTGACTGCTGCACACACGGATTTTTAAAAGTCTACTCTCTGTCTGTATTGCTGCACTGTGTCACACACAGCATGGAGCAGCGCACCCCCCCCTCCTCTCGTCTTTTACAGTCACGTGGCTTGGCAGCATTAGCCAAACAGCTAAGCTAACTAAGCAGGTAGGCTGGCCCACCCACTCAGCGTTCTCACCAAGCCCTCTACCTCAGGAGATTTTGCTTTAAGTTGTGTTGAGTGATTTTTTTGTCTGTTTATTTACATAAAATAGAATTGTATTGAAAGGAAGAAAATTCCTT